TCCATGGGATCTGTACCCACAACTTCATTCAACAAAACATGTCCTCTCCTAGCATTTTCTAAGTCCTCCAGTGTGATTCTATGGTATTCTTGGGATGGAAGTCCTTCATTTCTATAACGTTCATTATCTACAGTGTTGCTTATACATACAAAGTCCAGAAAAATAACCCCGCAGATACTTTATTTTATGTTCTATCAATCTAAATATCCTGGTTATTCACAGGGTGGTGATGAAATGTCTTATGCTATCATTTTACAATAGTAAATTTGTTGTTTTATTTATTTATTTATTTTGAACATTTTTACCCCGCCCTTCTCAACCCCTGGGGGGACTCAGGGCAGCTTACAATTGGCAATAATTCAATGCCGCATCATAAAATACAGAATAACAAATATAACAATTAAACATGAACATTAATAAATAAAGATTAAAACAGTATACTTACACTCTGATTAGCTATTGCCCGTCTGGTGGCTGTTTAGCTAGCCATCTACTAATGATTACTCCACTTAACTTATCCAAATCCTCTTCCATGCCATAGTCAACATTATCAATTGTCCTTTAACCTGATTGCCCGAAGGCCTGGTCCCACAGCCACGTTTTAACCTTTTTTCTAAAGGTGAGGAGGGATGACGATGACCTAATTTCCCCAGGGAGCAAATTCCACAGGCGGGGGGCCACCACCGAGAAGGCCCTGTCCCTCGTCCCCAAGCGTGTTTGAGACAAAGGCGGGGCCGAGAGCAGGGCCTCCCCAGACGATCTTAAGCTCCGAGGTGGGACGTAGAAGGAGATACGTTCAGACAGGTACACTGGACCGGAGCCGTATAGGGTTTTATAGGTCAAGACCAGCACTTTGAATTGTGCTCGGAATTGGATCGGCAGCCAGTGGAGCTGGCACAGCAGGGGGGTGGTATGCTCCCTGTATGACGCTCCGGTGAGTAATCTAGCTGCCGCCCATTGGACTAATTGCAATTTCCGAACAGTCTTCAAAGGCAACCCCACATAGAGCGCGTTGCAGTAATCTATTCGGGATGTTACTAATATAGATTTGCCATTTACAACGAAGTCACAAGTCCAACAATATAAAATAAAGGAATAGGGGTCCATGTCAAAGTTTTGGCATATCACCTCCAAAGCCCTGCCTCCTCTCACCTATTCTTTGCTCAACATTGATGCATATGTTGAAAACTCTTTGCACTTTTCTCAAGTATGAACAATGACTTGATTAAGCATCCTGATGAGATCACCTCCAGTCATATGAACAGCAAGACTCTGGTTGAATGACATACCTGTTGAGTAGCCTGGACTTGTTGCACCACCTGAGTCGGTACCCCGGATTGTGTAGCAGTGGAACCTGGGCTGGACTCTGAAACTGTGTCACTGGGCCTCATGGAGCCTTCTGTAAAGAAGCAGAAATCATTTAAAATAGCAGCCCAAATAGTGCTTTGTTTACACTGTACGTTGTTTTTGTATGTAAATAAAATCTTTAAAACTTAAAAAAATAGCAGCCCAAGGAAAATACTCAACACTACACACACACCCCAATATGGATCTCTAATTTTAGAAGAAAATCAAACTGAAAAGAGCATACATAAGACTAGACTAAGGGATAGCAGAAGGGATGTGACCCTGGAAGTGTGTAGGGAGAATATCAGGTCCCTTAGGCACCTGGGGTGCAAATCCCTCATTATCCAAATTATGAAAACACAAACAACTGAATACAGTGATGTTCCAAGTCTTATCAGAAGCTGAAAAATATTTATTTTTGAACTTTACTCCCAGACTCTCTCCCTTAGTCAGCATAGCCTATGGCGGAATGGTGGTACACAAAGTCAAAGACGTACTCTGATATTAGCCTTCTTTTAAGGGCTAACATCATCAGCCCTTTACAGTCCCAAACAGTGACACCACAAAATCTGAGGCCTTCCTTTGCCCCAACACTTTCATATCATCACACGGGATTCTGGGATCTCCATTTGCTAACACTATTACCCCTAGAAACACTGCTACCCCAAACAACAATTGCCCTAAACAATGTCGCAGACAGGTGAGCTCTTGCTATGAAGAGAAATTTACTCTGAGATACTGAGGAAAGAATACTATTTCACGGCCTATAGCCCCTTGGAATACAATCCATTTCTGAGTTTGGAAACTAGTCCACTAAAAACTATCTAGGTCCCTGACCGTAGTCATAAAAAAGAATCGTGTCTCACAGTTTAACATAGAAAACACCCTGAAGGAGGTTTGGGAAGAAGATTTAGGGATAAAAATAAATGAAATAGAGTGGCAACAATTATGGAGACAAAGACATCTAAAAAATTTATCAATACGGGTTAAAGAAAATTATTATAAGTTAATATGGAAATGGTATCTAACACCAGTAAGATTAGCACATATAAATAAAAATTATTCAAAAAATTGTTGGAGAGGATGTCAAGAACCAGGAACATATATACATATGTGGTGGCAATGTAAATATGTAAATAATTTTGGGGAAAGTATTTAGAGAAATAGAAGATATAATGAATATTAAAATAGAAAGAAGTCCTAGTATAGCTTTATTATCATTATATAATAATAAACAATTGAAAAAAGAGGATAAAGAAGCGATAACAAATTTATTAACAATAGCAAGATTGCTTATAGCAAGAAACTGGAAAAAAGAAATAAATATACAAATAGAGGAGTGGTATAAGGAAGTGTGGAAACTGGCAATAAATGATAAGCTGACATGTATATTAAAAGTTAAAAAAGGTATATGGAAACAAAGTGATTTTGATGATGTTTGGAGACAATTTATTGTAAAAGGATTAAAAAATAAAGAAGGAAAGTTACCGCCACAAGAAGAAATGAGATTCTGGACAGACAACATGTAAAAGTTGTGGCTTGAGGAGGGGAGGGGAGCACAGCGGTGAGGAATAGAGAATATGTTTATGCAGAATAATAATACTAGATGTCAAAGTATGTTAAGTGTATTGAATAACATGTATCTGCTGTAAAACAAATGTATAGCAAATGTACTAACTATGATAAAATAATAAAAATTATTTTTTAAAAACATAGAAAATGGTACATGATTCCTATACCCACCACCACAACACAGATTTTCCATGTTTTTTAGACATATGAACCTCTGCAGGGAGATTATTTTTCCTAGGCTCCTGTTCAATTATGTCCTAGCACCTAATCTCCAACTGAGGAAGTTACCATGTTACAGTTTAATGAAAAGCCTTTTTTTCTTAGAAGCATTACAATTTTTCTCCCTCCTATTTTAAACAAATAGTCCTCTAAAAGGAATGCTCTCCACTCAAAGCAAGGACAAGCATATAGGCCAAGCGGAAACCTTGCCAATCAAAAATCTTCCTATGTTGAGAGCAAAATCCTGAGTTTTTGGTGCTCAGGAGCAGATCTAAACTATATTCTTCTTAGAGAGTGTGCTTCTTTTCTGCTGATATTCCATAGACCACAACAGATTTGCAAGAACGCAAAGCAGAAGGTGGGTTGGGAAATCAACATTTCGGACAGATCCGAAACAGCAGTCTCTGTGTAAGTACTTACGGTCAAAAGGCACTGCATAAAGGTAATCATAGTATATGGCGAGGCAACTGAAACAGTTACAGTCCCAGCTGTTCATTTTCTTGAAAATGAAACAGGCAAGGCTTTTATAAACTGGAACCTTGGCCAGCTAATCCCCACTAGTTCCTACCAAAGCTCCAGCCAGGTTGGTTTTGTATAAACATTCTCATCATAGTAGGTACACCTTTCTGTTCTTCTCAGGACGGGGTGGCAGATGCCGGCTGTTCACCCGATTGCAATCACCAAGCAAGAGTTCACGTTTCATGAGTGTCTCATTTGACATGCTCAAAGGGAAGGGGGAGAAGGGGAAGTCACTCTGGGCCACCTGCGTTAGAGCAGCTAATTTGTTTGTCTTCTTAGAAAATGCAGGAGAAGGCTTTCAAAACAACTCCCTTGAAAAGCTGGGGGTCCTGTAACATGAAGGATGATTGGCACTGATCTATATAAATAAAAATGTAATGTTCGTTTGTGGGATTAACAGAACTCAAAAAACGGTGGGCAAATTGACACCAAATTTGGACACAAGACACCATTCAAAGCAATCTATGTCCTTCACTCAAAAAAATTCCTCCCAAAAAACAATGTTGTTGTTGTTCATTCGTTCAGTCATCTCTGACTCTTCGTGACCTCATGGACCAGCCCATGCCAGAGCTCCCTGTCGGCCGTCACCACCCCCAGCTCCTTCAAGGTCAGTCCAGTCACTTCAAGGATGCCATCCATCCATCTTGCCCTTGGTCGGCCCCTCTTCCTTTTACCTTCCACTTTCCCCAGCATCATTGTCTTCTCTAGGCTTTGCTGTCTCCTCATGATGTGGCCAAAGTACTTCAACTTTGTCTCTAGTATCCTTCCCTCCAATGAGCAGTCGGGCTTTATTTCCGGTAGGATGGACTGGTTGGATCTTCTCGCAGTCCAAGGCACTCTCAGAACTTTCCTCCAACATCACAGTTCAAAAAACAATAAGACCTTTAAATTTTAGAAAGGAAAAACAGAACACCGCGCATGTGGGCAAACCCAAGGAACTCCCAGATGCCTCCTCCTCCTCCTCCTCTTCTTAATCAGAGGCTGAATGGCCATCTATCAGTAGTGCTTTGATTGTGTTTGTCCTTTATAGCAGAAAGGGCTGTACTGGACGGCCCTTGGAAGTCCCTTCCTATTCTGTCAGGAGTGCTTTGATTATGGGGCCCTTGGAGGTCTCTTCCTACCCTAGGATTCTATTATTACTAATACTATTATTGCTGTTACCATTATTAAGAAGACTTTCTCATTACTTAATTTTCCATACCACCAAACTGTGCCATCTATCAGGCCAACAAGTGACCATCACTCATAAAAACACTGAAAAACACAGCAGAAGAGACTTAAAAAGCCAAAAAAAACTGCATTACAACACAGGTGCAAAACCACATATATACACATATACACACATATACACACACAATACACATATACACAGACTTGGCCACAGCAACACATGGCAGGGGACAGCTAGTAACCAATAAAAGTGATGTAACATTGCTCCATTAATAAGTATCATACTTCAGACGTCTCATGGACAAGGGTGCCTACTGCTCACAGATAGCTTGATTCAATCCCACATTTTCAAATCCATGTTCACAGAGCCGACTTTTTCTTAGCAATTTGTAGAAATTCTATTCTGAGATATATGACAGATGATAGATCGACAGCCTTATATACTACATTAGCAATCCCATACTGTCTTTGAATTAAAAATAGAAATGTTTAAACTTCTCCAATACATTTGGCCAAGACAGAGCAAATCATCAAGCAACAAATTCTCTACTCTGAACTATCAAGCTAAATGGGCGGTAAAAAGGTCAAAAAAGACGAAGTGCAAAACAGCCAGCCAGAAATAAACCAAGGGAGAGCTCGGCCTGCTAGCAGAAAAATGTCAGTTTACAGAGACTGGGCTTTACATCCCAAAAGCCACCGCTGATGAGCAGGAGGACAAGGGCGATTTTGGCCAGACTCCATGTAAGAAATTTATGTTTGTCAATCTCAAAGCAAATAATTAAGATCTAGTAACTAGCTTTCTCACTTTCCAAGGGGCACTAGAAAAAAATCACCAGTATATTTTAAAAATCACCAGACTTGCAATTACAGCAGGACTTATAAGACTAGGAGTTCAAGCTGGGGGAAGGAGCAGGACGTCTGAAAGAATATCCACTTTAACAATGTTAAAAACAAGCCGCAGAAGCAGCCCAGGGGAAATTGAGCCCCCTGTGACTACCTCGATTCATTTTGCTCTAAAGAACTCATGAAAAGTGTTCCTGTAACTTTAACAGCCTTTAACAGCCTCACTAAACTACAAACCCCAGAATTTTGCAGAAGCCAAAAACCGGATTTTAAGTGGCTTTTTTCTCTAGTATGATGGAGTGGTAGTTCTTGTGAAACAAATATGTGGTTCATTTTACTGACTCGTTGTACCACGTTACATCTCAGGGTCTTCCAGATCTAAGACATGAGGGAAAGAGACCAAGGGCAACAGAAGGGAGTGATAACACTTAGCATTTAAATCAGGGGTCCTCAAACTAAGGCCTGGGGGGCGGATACGGCCCTCCAAGGTCATTTACCTGGCCCTTGCTCAGGGTCAACCTAAGTCTGAAATGACTTGAAAGCACACAACAACAACAATTCTATCTCATCAGCCAAAAGCAGGCCCACACTTCCCAATGAAATACCAATAAGTTTATATTGGCGGGATTGTGGCGCAGCTGGCTGAGTGTCAGCTGCATTAAGATCACTCTGACCAAAAGGTCATGAGTTCGAAGCCAGCCCAGATTGGAATGGGTTTCCAACCAATTG